AAGCGATACCAATGTTACGCAACAACAACGTTAAAAATTGGATAGATTGACAGAGTAAAATAAATAAAGCTCATTAAATACGCAAGACTGTAGAAAAAGAATTTGTAATTCAGAACATGAAATGTTACGAAACCAATTGTTGTAAGCTGAAGTCATTAGGGTGATGCGAGACTGATAACTGCATTATAATGAAGGAGTGAATTCGGTCATAATCTTTTAATAAAGATGCCTTTGTCAAAATGTAACAGATTTGAAGTTGTTTGGGTAGTGATTATTTTGAAAAATCCTGAAATCAAAAAACCATGTCCTCTTACAAATAGATGAATGTTGATTGCATTGCTGAAAATATGTTGACCTTTTTTGTCTAAGCTAGTGTGGAGTGTCCTCAGAGTTTTGAAAATAAATAAGTTCGTAATAGAGTATCATTTTCAGAAAGTATAAATGATACCAGTAAATCTATAAATAAGTTATAAATTCAATTCGTATTGGTTACTTGAATCTTCCCATTGATGTTTAGTACTGCAATTGGTCAGTCTCTTGTTGTCATTGTGCATCCTGTCTCGATATTGCCTTAGATCACAAGCTTTATAAGCAAGGATGAGAAGTAGCTAGCAGTGGAATCCAGGACGCGCGTTTCGTCCCATTTGGGACTCGTCAGCTGGATGTACCTACCTCTCTGAATTGATGTTCATTCTGGGACTCGAACCCAGTACCGTTCGCTTCAAACGCCATCGTGTTATCCACTCAGCTACTGGGTCCTGGTGGCCAATTGCTAGTGCGATAGGGTGAAGTTTAAACCCAGGGTCCAGAGTGAACATCAGTTCTGAGATGCAGGTACATCCAGCTGAAAAATTCCAAGTATAACGAAACGTACGTCTTGGATTCCACCGCTAGCCACTATCCATCTTTGCCTACAAATAAGTTACTTTGCTCAAATTTACCAGAATAAAGCGCAGTATGTAAATAATTTGTAAACTAGTGTTATTTATAATGACAGTCCATTCACGTCAGCTGACTGGATTCATCTCTCTCAATGAAAGACAGAGACCAGAAGTCTTTACTGCGATACACTAAACCAATTAATTGTAGACTAGTTAACTTGTTGTCCGAAACAGTATATAAAACTACATTTAGAAAATTGGACTAATACTTAGTAATCTACTGTATAAACTAAAAACTCTTAATCACCACTCACACTAAAATTACTTCGTCAACACTAGATGCATAGTAAAGTTCCATACAAAATCTAAGAAAACTTTAAAAAGTATATGATTGGGTATACTTTGAAAGCAAAATGTTAAAAAAACTGAAATTTAAAAAAAATCCGACATCCTAGAATACATAAGTTAAAGCACATATATCACTTGGTACTTTTACTACTTTCAACTCGTAGTATTTCGTTCACGTCGTTATATTAACTGATAATATATTTTTACAAGTCCACATTTATCAATAGCTTGAAAATAAGATGCTTCAACTAATTTCTTGCATAGAGATTTTATAACACTACATTTTTCGTATTTAAAAAAAATAATAAAATTAGGATAAACAAATTGAAAAATTGAATGGATCTTTGAAACTTCAAATACAAAAAACGGAGAAATTTCAAAAATTAATTGAACAACAACATTCAAATTCACAAAATAAACATGAAGCATTTAAAATGGCAAAAAGTTTATTAGTTAACGTACATGCTAAAAAGAAAGAAGTAAGTTCAAATTCTACTACTACCGTAATAATTATTAACAATATAATTTGTTAAAGAGTGAATAATAAATTTTCTAGCTGTAATTAGTATATCAATATTCAGTCTTTTTTTCAATTTATTAATTGAATCATGGAATAAAACGAGATTCAAAGAAGAGATTCTCATTTTAGTAAAGCTTAAGCGTTCACGTGCGAAATCGAAATACCTGGGTTCGATTCCTACGTGTGGGATTGCAGACGCACACCGCCGAGGAGTTTCATACTAGGACGAGAAGGTCGTCCAGTGCTTCCAGGTTTTCAATGGTGGTCTAGCTTAGATTGACTCACGAATTCAACCATTAAGATTTAATTGTTAACAAAAGCATTGTAATGCACAAAATTCAACTCCTTCGCAATTTCATTGAATAATAATTGATAAAACTTTTGGGAAATTAGTAAGATTGAATGTAATACTTAGTAGGAATGAAACTTTAACAGAAAATGGGTCAAAAATTATAAAAATGACAAAAAGAAATACGAACCTAGCAAAATACTGAGACAGAGGATACTACTTAGATAATACTATCTCAACTTGTGTTAATTCTATCCGGTAATTTATTTACTCTGAAGAAGCGGCATAAAACTAAGTCGCAAAACATCAGAAATACATTTTTTCTACTGATTGGGATATAACGAAAAAAATATCATCAGCTCACTAACCATTGCTCATTTTTTTCAAAACTAGCTAGCCCAACCCTGGCATTGATACGTATAAACAATACTCTAGATTTAATTTGAATGGTGACTTAACCTACTATTTTCCATGCAAAGCAGAAGTAACCAAAATGCTTTTAAGAGTAACAAGATTTCATTGATGCCTTTTTTATGAAGTATAAAAGGATGTGTTATGCCGAAAAGCTATACCTACAAAACCTTTTAATCACTAGGATATTTCATTGGTCTATAGTAGCGTCTTACTCTCGCGTGTGAGAACAAAAGAAATGCACCATTTTCTCAATAAATGAGTGATATTATTCTTGATAGGCCATTAAGTATTATTTGGTCACAGGACTTATTTCCTAATGATAACAGACAAAAAATGAGTGACTTAATATTGTAATACACATTATTCAATACTGAAACTTTTAAGAGTCAATAATGAGCCCTAAATTTAATATGCAGCTACTTAAAACAATATTCTGTCAACGTGTTGCATAATATCCAGTATTTAGTGTACAAATTCAATCCCATAACTCCCCGGTCATACTGGATATCACCAGAAATCACGAAACCAAGTAGTGGAGATTCAGATCCATAAGAGGCTGTCAGTCTCCTTGAGGCTATGAAGTTCGAGTATCCCTAAAAACATTGCTAAGCATTTGCATAACACGAGCTTTTGTTTTATTTTTAAAAGCTCGGGACATTTCGGGATCTTATCGGAAGAATGCTGGATGTGGATACGCGATTTTCTCCAAATCCTGATATGATGATATTTCAACGACTTCAACAACTGATAGACTTTGCAGTTTCTAGCCGTTTAACATCAGTTCAACCTAATATAACAACCTCATTTAGTAACACCCCTAATAATACATTTTATCCTTTGGTAAATTCTTCGAAATCAACAATGAGTCAAATCCCTATTAAACCGTTAAGTTCTATGTATACAAACAACCTAGCTCTACCGTTATGGGATAAACATCGTGAAGGTAAGGAAAAGTGTTTATGAATTATGTGATGAACAATAAGCAGCCATATAAATCACAAACTGCGAGTCGCACATACTAATTTTAGTTACTGTTCTTTTATGATATATAAATCAGTACTAAACTTTGTTAGTCATCTTATCAAATAGGTAAAGAGCGAACACTTTCAATGGCCTAAAAATAGAACATTGAGTAACATTAAATCTTCACGAGGATATTTCTTCACCAAGTAGTAATGTGGTCAAAGTTATCCCTACATTAAAAGCACTCATATAAAAGCCAACTTTCACAATTTAACTCAAATCAAAATTCATGGCTATATTACACATATTCGATGGTATTAATTTTCAAATCAAACTACGGTCCTAGTCCATACGAAAAATAAGCTGATACAGGTAGATACGGCCTCAGACAACAAATACGACTACCCCCTAAAGCACCTTTAGTTGATCACTGGCAAAGTAGAAACTGAGACATATATGCATAGAGTCAAATAGTCACAGAATATTCTCACTACATTGGAGAGATACCAGAAGACAATGCCTTGTCTGTGATCATAAAGAATCATTACTGGACGAAAATATGATTGTCTACTAAAACTTTTAGCCAATCAAAAATGAAGATAAAAAATGGTTGGATTATTTACACTGATTAAGAGAAAGGATAAACAAGACAATTGGGGATATGTAGTCGAATCTCTGTCTGACTAACTACTACAAATGTTTATTTTAATGTCACCATTAACAAGTGTTCTCTAAAATATATGTGAATTTTGATAAACACTCATTGCCAAACCAGGCGAACCTTGTGTGATTTGGAAATACGTACCTCTCTTCCACTTACTGCCTAATAACACTAGAATTTCAGTAAACTTTAGTCAATGTAAAAAAACCTACAATTAGTTACTAATTCTAATATCCAGATGCAATTGATTTCTTTTCTAAAAAGTGATGCCTGTTATCGTACGTACTTCGATTTTGAAGAATAACCGGTTGTTTCGAAATCTCTCTGAGTGCTACATTGTTTTCATTACGAATAATTTGTACTTCTTTAACTACATACATCTCGTTCAGATGAAATTCATTAATTTCCAGTAAATTTAATTACTCAAATGGATTGTCACTACTTGATTTTCATGTTTGTTCTAGGCCACTTGGACTTGCAGTCAGAACACCAAGGAAAAATTAGGCCTACATCAGATGAAATGACTCAAGCCGAAAGTGAGAAAAAACAAATACACCGACAAAGTGTGCAAGAAAATAAATCAAAAGCCTCCACTAAATCCACATCTAATGTACCGAAGAAATCAGAATCCCGCATTCAAAAGGATGACCGTCAATACTAGGAAAATATTCACATAACACTACTACCTCAGGAAGTAGGCACTTTATTTAAAATACCTCGAAAACACTTATAATACCAACAATAGATTATTGCTCAAAGTCCAAACCTTTTAACTTAAAGTAAGAATTGGGAGTAGATCTCATGTCCAACGCTAGCCAGATATAACAAGCTTAGAAACAGACAGTAAAACGAAAAATGCCACTTTCGTTAACCGATGTGGTCAAAACTTTGCTATCATCGAAGGTGGAAGATAAATGTATTTTGTCATAAATATATTTAAACCATTAACTGAATGTGATGAGACATAGTAAGTATTATTGAGGTTAAGAGTTACGTTTTTTACAGTAAAAGTAAGTCAGTAGATGGACTTGCGAACCAAAACGATGTGGCTTCTGGATCATGACGAAATCATCGTATTTTGCAGACAATTGTGACTTTTATCAGAATTTCAGAGTTATGGTGAGCAAGACTTTCACTCATATATATATTTAAATAATCCAGTGAAGATAATCAATTGAATTAAATTAGTGTAGCAATATCATCATTTGCTAAATAATGTGTGACTCATAATCGAATGATAAGTGAATTTATAGATAGCGCCCAATGAGCATTACTAACCAGATACAGAAGTAAACATACTTCAGGAGGACAACAATGAACGTTGGAAAATAAATTGTCATATTTTGAGATACAATAAGAAAAATAGAATAACCGATTAGAAAACACATCAGGATCTAGGTCTGGGCTTAACAACAGAATGGAAAGAAGTTTTATTTGCGAAGTTTTGAATCCATGGGTGAGAGATGATTCCTTCTAGGGACAACCGATCCGTCGGATAACGTTGAAGGATCTGTGAAGATATTATAAATAAATGTATCACTGAAAGATGGTGAAAACAAAGTGAACTGAAACTAAATCAATATACACTAAATTTGTCAGCGATATTTGAACGAACAGATGTCAGTATTTACTGAGATTCTGACAGGGCTAGAATTCAAACAACTACAGGTGTATTACCCATAAGTGTATCCTACAGATATTTACAGTAGGAACACTTTCCACCTAATATTAAGAAACCAATTAGACGCTGGTTATTATAACTCAACCGCGAGTTTAGAATGTGGTAATAAGACTATTAAATGCGTTATCGGATTTGACCCAAAACTTTCAACAGACAGTAGCAACAACTAGCTGTATTATTAAGATGGAAAACTTCAACACTTGCTTCTTAAATGAAATGTTTGGTAGAACAAGACAACCTGACAACACAACGTCAAATTCTTGTCTTTAGAAGTACACCAGAAGTTTAAGTTGTTCAAGAAGTTTCATTTAAAATATCAGAAACTGAGTAAACCGGTAGAGTGACCAAATTTCATTAGACGACTATTACAATAGCAAGTGGTTTAGGTAGCATTGAGTATTTTACTATCTACCATATATTGTGTGGAACACTTAGCTTAAGACCATAACAGCGAACGCATCCAAATGCCTTGGTATGGCCGAGAGTGGGAAGAGCCAGCTCTCCTCAAAATGCTCTCACATGGCCACACGTATGCAGTCACTACCAGAGAAGTCATAATCACTACATTATCGTGGTGGGGATGTTGTTTACGAAATTGAGAGGACAAAAAGCGAATGTCCCACGCTTTAACCGGGTTGGTGGATACTCCGTATCCACTTACGGGAGTTGGAAAACTCTGATCCAAACCAGTGGTGCATATCGGCTCCAGGATCCTAAGGAAACAAATGGCGTATGAACCTATTTTTGGTCACCGGCTACCAAGGGACTGAATCTCCTTACGTTGCTCCACTACTTTGTGGATTAGACCTTTAGGTCAAAGGCTCCGGGTGTGGCCCGCTGAGAAGACCACCTGCTTCGGTTTGGGCACCCGGGCAGTATGCCAGCCCTCATACTAATCGAATGATTTATGTGGTGCATATCTATTTGGTGCCTCCTTGTACCAATGTTTATGTGTTGAAATAAATAAATAATAACAGTGAACTGAACAAATGACTTTGTAAATGACTCTTACTTAAACCCTACCTAGTTTATTCAAAACTATGAACCAACCACTCGTTACCATTGCTCGTAGTTGGGTATGTATTTGTTGATAGCAACGAAGTGAATAAAAAAGGGTCTAACATTGACTAGTCCAGATCAGATTATTTGACTGTCACTGCTGAGAATTGTTTTACTATGAACTACTGATAATATTATTGTATTTATTTGAAAACATCCCACTGAAAGAAGTTAAGTAATCAAGTTTCACTTAAAGGATATTATTGGTGTTGTTTATTAAAGCAAAAAGGTTGTGTGCGATGGACTTATAATGATGAGACTTGCAATATCGTTTGACAGTAAACTACTACTACTACAGACAATTCAATCTTCAACTGCTGCTAATGGATCTATAATGATTTATTCCAACCAGAAATAAGGTGGCATTTAAGGAGGCTTCACTAATATGGTTTGAATAAGCAACAGATAACTATCAAGTTTCAAAACACTATTTAACATATTACAGCGTAGCTACTTTCGAAGTGAAGTGGTGGTTTGAGGTGAATGGTCAAAAATTTTATTGGAAGACTCCTCAGGTATTAATAAAACAGACTCCACGTAATGTTCAAGGTACAACTAATGAATAAAGCTAAACTTATCGGGAGAATTTCAGCTATATCCCGATTCCCAATACTTGCCGTTAATATGTTATGTAAAACACTTGGCTTAATATAGTTTCACAGAACATTCTACATATGACTATTGAGCACAAGCAGTCTGAAAAGTATACAATTTGTTTTCTCACTAATTATTTTTTTAGACAAATTATGATGGACAGTTAGTTATCTAGTCTGATCCAAGAGCTATCTGAAGATGATTCCAATACGGTCAGATAAGTATGTTCTGGAAATACAACTAAAGGTGCCAACTAAAATCAGTATAGTTTTATTTATTTACCCAAAGATCCGGAATAAATGTGATCCTAACAAGATATAAATGGATTTAAAAATCAAAAATTACTTTACTGTCTACTGAAAGTTATTATTTCAAGGACTTTATCCCCATAAACAGTAGTCCCTTGAATTACCTAGCCAGACACTTCAAGATCATTTCCTTATACTTTAATTATTATCATCTTTGTTGGTCCACTTAGTTTAAGTCCTAATTATGGCTACAGTTGAGAGTTGACTCACTAGTAAATTTATAGTTACTTGCTTGTGTTCACTAGAGTCCTCGAAAAAATAATGCCTGATACACCTCATATATAAGCATCTAAAAAATGGACTAAAAGTACAAAATGTTTAAAAAAAGTACCTTAGATATCATGTCTTGTGCCATCGGAGTTATAACAGGAGGGAAGGTATATTTAACAGTTTTGATACAGGCATAAGTGTCTTGTGTATTAGGATGTTCAAACGGAGGTTTACCACAAAGCATTTCATAGCATAAAATTCCAACAGTCCAGTGATCCACACGTTCATCATGGGAAACCCCAGCAACCATTTCTGGAGCTAAGTAGTCTATTGTTCCGCAAAGCGTTCGTCTCCTACAAAAAACAGCATGGTATTTGACTAGGAAAATGAAATATAAACTCCCGAAAGACTAAAATGCACCCTTCACTATTATTCCTAATTAAAAAGTACCCAATGCATCACAACAGTAATACAATTTACGAGGTAATTTTTCAAATGATGCAATTGCACGACTGTAATATCAAGTTGACTACAATATGCGAAATAATGGAACAATGGGAAGTCCGTTACGCATGCTGAACCATCGTCACCCTCGACGGGCGACGTCTTCTAGTGTAGAAGTAGGCTGGAAGCTAAGGACGGCCAAGTCAAAACATGGCATCACTCCATGACGTCATTAACAATTGAACTTATCCATGTAGATGAGTGTAGACTACCTAAGTTGGAGTTTGCGTGATTATCATAACCAGTGGTTAGAAATTTTACATAAAATGGCACAAAATCGTTTACAACGGTACAGGCGCATCCATTTTTTTGTGTTCCCCCAACTTTTAAACTTCTGAATTCTTTTATTTCATTAATATATATTTTCTTGGATACTTGATCTTTCCGACTACCACTGAAACTGTTACTACCTCTACTGCTCTGATATTCGGACTGACAATTTCATCTCACAGTGCTAATGGAGTATAGCAACTTGAAACGGTGTACATTAGTACAGTAGTACTATTGAATATTCTGGAAACTACTGCAGATACCATACCAACCAGCAAGAACAGTGCAGTTGCTATAAAGTAACACAATATTTAGCCCCAAAGTAGTGTGGATTTATGTGCTAAACGCGCTATTGTTAATAAATAGGTGCTTGCAGTACAAGTATCATAGTTAAGAATTAAAGCCAACTCTTGGTTTAGAAGGACATTATCATTTCTTTAACCCGCTCTTACACAACCAAGCTTTAGCACTTATAACACACGTTCCAAGCTTATTATCTGATAAAAGTTCTTGATACAGTCACATTAGAAACTCAGTGGAGTACCGTACAAATAATATTAACAGACATAGACAGTGCTTCGGTTACACACGTAATATCTTCTCATCTTCCATTTCAAGCGGTTGGTACCTCATAGTTGAAGCGTATAATGGAAAAAACTGTAATAGGATACGCACTATTCCATATGTACACGAACAACTTTCACGGGCCTCCGGAGACCTAAGTTCGTGCAAAACAGACCATTTGTGTTCGTTAATATATTCCGTCAATTATGTTGACCATCAGAATAGGTAAGGTGAACGATTTCCCCGAACAGTTCCCTATCTACAGTCAGATTAGGCATCCACACAGACCATTTTTAAAACACTACTTTAAATTTGCGAAGGTAAAACCCGTCCCAAGAATCCTTATATTGATGCACGAGACTTGAAGACTGCAATTGCCGCATCTTCCGTCAAAGTTAACATTTGCATACTCAAAGACTATTGGGGAATCTCCAGGTAACAGATTAGTTCCTAAAGTAGTATACACATAGCGAAATTGAAATGAAGTAAAGGCCGATAGCTTTGAGGGACACTACTTGATATAGCTAAGAAATTTAATAGTTCACCGAAATCTCCAACGCGACTGCAACTGTTCGGTTGAGCGTGTTGACCGCTTCACTTATCTGGAAAGTCTCAACAGGCCTTGTGGTCTAGTGTGTGACGAAATCTCAGTTCGACTAGCTTTTGCCAACTTGCGTCATTTATGGCGTAGGCGAGATATCCGTCTATCAATTAAAGGACGGGTTTACTGTGCAGCAGTTCGTTCCGTCCTACTTTATAACAGTGAAACATGGCCAGTAAGAGTAGAGGATATTCGTACGTTACTAGCATTCGATCATAGATGTCTTCGAAACATTGCTCGTATATCCTGGGATCATCGAGTAAGTAACGCAGTTGTTAGGAAACGGGTACTAGGTAAGGGTGGCAAACCAATTGATCATGTAGTGAAACTTCATCAGTTGAGATGGCTGGGACGTCTTACGTACGCCCAGTCACCGACTGCCCTGGCATGTGGTCTTCAATGGTATAGGAGTAGGTTAGAAGGAAGCTAGGGGCGGCCAGACCAAAACATGGCACAAGTCCATGAAGTCATTGACAAGTGGACTGGGCAATGTTGGTTGGTGTAGACTACCTGGTTGGGGACCGCGAGATGATAGCAACCGATGGTTAAAGACCTTGAATGACATGGCTCAAAATCGTTTGCAATGGCGCAGGTGCATCTGCCCTTTGTGTTCTCCCAAATTCTAATCTTCTGAATTCTTCATATCCCTTTCTTTTTCCTCTTTCTAAATTTATTTCACTGGATTATAATTCTTGAATACCATGTTCAAACCCTAATCTTCCGGATTACTGCTTATACTCCTACTACCTATACCATTACGGGATTTGAATCGACAACAGCATCCCTGTGCTAATATGGTGTGGCAACTCGAACTGATGTACGTACGTATAAAGTTCTACTTTGTTACTGACTGACTGACTGACTGTCCGGTTACGTCCTTGACAGTGTACTTTTTTAGTAAGGAATTCAATGAGTGATAAAACATAACAATTAAAGGGGTAAAGAAATGAGGTCCGTTGGATGAGAGTATATTTACGTTTCGAAATCTTAAGGTTGTGATTGAGACGATAAATAAACGACCAGGCCTCAAATGTACTTCGGTTTGTGTTTGTTAGTTTAGTGACGAGCGTCAGTCAGTAACAACGTAGAACTTCGTACGTACGTACATCAGTCCGAGTTGCCATACCGCATTAGCACCGAGATGCAGTTGTCGTTTCAAACCCCGTAGCGATAGAGGTAGTAGTGACGAGCGACTGCAGAATGATTATGTCAACTATATTGATGAAGAGCATAAACAGACAACTTAACGAACGCATATTTATGTACTGGATTTTGATCCAGTGAGACATTTTCCACACAAATGCATCAAAAATAGCAACAAAAAAGACTTGACAAACAGTGCATAGTAATTTAACATTCTGGATGTAAATGAAGGAACCAACTGAAGAAAATTCTAAGTTCAAGACCGTAAACTTACCATATTGATATCATTTAAGTACGTATTTAAGTTGTTAGAACTTGACAGCAGGTCCTTCAGGGACAGCTAGGGAGCGATGTCTACCAAATGATTAGCATTGAGGTTAGGCTTTGGTCACTAGGTAAAAGTGGGAAACTAAGCTTCGAACTTTCCCTGAGGTAGCCGATGTTACCTATGACAATCCATTATAAACTCTGACATGGAAAGGTGGATAGTATAGCATTCCGAATGTTTAGGAGACTACCAAAATGTGACACGTTTAAGAAATCTTCCACTACTTAATTGAGCCACGTCTGGAAGAGCGAAACTCCGCTTTATAAACACAACTTATGACTGATAATCCCCGACAACACAAAAGCAATTGTAGTGGTGTAAGTACGTTCATTCTATATATTTTAACCTCCAGTTTGCAGTCAGCTCACACCTTTGGAGTTAATATGGTTTATCTGTGTTGACGAGTGGTGTGAAGATGGGTTAATGTACATGTTCAGAAGTTCCAGCATTGTTCATGATCGATGTATATTAAGGAATACGTCTGGACTACTAGTAGTTTAACAAGAAAACAAGTTTGAAACTTATCACCCACAAATCTGTTCTGTTGGCTTAGGTTGAAGAAACCAGTTTATTATCGGACTAGCGTTACAAAATCAGCTGTAGAGTTTATTGAAACGGTGAAACTATTAATTATGGACGAACCGATAAGATATAAGTTAATGTATCACGAATTTTGGCGCGAAATTCATCCATACATTTGGCTAAATAGAGTTTTGGCATTATAGCTGATGTCAGTACGTGACGAAAACCCTAAATCTAATTTTTAACCCCAACCATCAACTGTAAATGAGAATTCTAACTGCTATATAACCCTCATTTATTCATAATCAGTAGGCGTCTACTCTCAAGAGTCGCTCAAAGATTGTCTATGAATCATAGTCTCACTAAAATGTCCTATTTCAGTAGCCAATCAAAAGTACAGAAAAGCGTCATCGCAATATACTGACCCTTCGACAAACGACAGATAAACCGAGGTGAATACACTCATAAGTACATACCTGAGTGATGGAGCATGAACAGCCCAACCAAAGTCCGATAGTTTCAACTCTTGATGAAAACCAAGAAGTAAGTTTTCAGGTTTGATATCCCGATGGATTACTTTCATGCGGTGGCAGTACATAAGGGCATCACACAGCTGGTATATGTACTAGGAATTTTATAAGAGAAAGTAGGACTTACTGTGGCTGAACGCGCCTCACTAAAGCGTCCGAGCCTTCGCAGCTCAGTATACATCTGACCTAGAAAAGCATACTCAAGAACCAGGTAAATTCTCTTGTGGTCATGAAAATATGTGTACAGTTGAAGAATGTGTGGGTGCTGGAGATGACACATGATCTCTATTTCGCGTCTTATCTGGTGTTCTAATTTGTTCTTCACAATCTGTTTTTTGAAAATAACCTGAGGAATTCGTGTGAAGCTAAGAAACATACTTTTATTGCACATGGAAAATGCGACTTCTTTGTTCTTGCAAGGAAAACAGTCCCGAACTTCCCACGACCAAGTTGTTTCCCGATTTCAAAGTCAGACAGAACGCTTACACTACGCGTAACTTCCATTAATAACCTGAGTGTCAATATGAGCGCCTGAGCATAAGTAACCTATCATCCGTGCGAATGAACAAACCAAAGCTGCCCTACATTCTAGATGTTCTGAAGTTGTATTCTACTGGCTGGAGTATTTCCTTATCTCAATTTACGTAACTAAGGGGAATTCAAGCTGTCTTAGGATAAATAGAGCTCGGTTCTTCAACCTCATCGATAACTTGGGCTTATATGAAAATGTGAGGTCGGCAACTCGTTGGAGAAACAGTCAGACACCATCGCGCTTAGACTGTGTATTCACTAACGAAGAATTCCTAGTCGACAACCTCTCAATCCTGGCTCCTCTGGGAAAAAGCGATCATGCCGTCATAGCCTTCAGTTTTGTCATCAAAACTAAGCTAAGGTATCCCAACAATAATTTGCGATGGAATTTTAAACGGCTGAATGTGCGAGCTCTACATGACCATCTACAACAGGTGGTTTGGGATGTTCACCCTCAAATCGATGTGGATGGTCATTGGGACTTCTTGCTGCACACGCTCTTATGTGCTACAGACCATTCAGTTCCTCAAACGGTTCCCAAAAGCTTCAAGCCACCTACAGTAATCAAGAACCGTACCCTTCGCCTGCTAAGCCGCAAAAGGCACTGTTGGGCAGAATACAAACGAACTAATAACGATGGAGCGTATAGGCAATATAAACATATCAGGAACATACGCACGAAGGCTATAAGAGAAGATAGGCTTCAGTACCAAACAAAGCTTATGGACAAATTCGCCTCTAACCCTAGAAGCCTATTCCGTTATGCAGCCTCTCTTCGTCAAGCCAAAACAGGAGTTTCTCAACTGCTAGGTCCTAACGGCCCGACCAACAACGATGGCGACGCCGCTAACCTTCTGGCGGCCCATTACTCTCAAACATTTCAACCGGCTGACATCAACTTTATTGACGACAGTTTCATCTGCAATTCCACAGGACTTTCTGAAGTGGACCTAAGCGCTGACTTGGTGTTCCGGAAACTGCAGCACTTAAGACTTGACACTTCTCCTGGCCCGGATATGGTTCATCCTGCCATACTGAGGGAGGCAGCCTCAATCCTGGCAACGCCGCTTAGCGTGATGTTTTCACACTCGCTTAGCCGAGGCAAACTACCGGAAAATTGGAAGTTGGCTCACATCACACCAATTTTCAAAGGTGGTCGACGCAATGAACCTTCAAGTTACCGGCCGGTAGCTCTTCTGTCGTTACCTTCAAAACTCATGGAGTCCCTGATATGCGACGGTTTAAATGACTACCTACTGTCCTTAAATTTCTTCTCACCCCAACAGCATGGTTTCAGGAAGGGTTACTCTTGTATAACCAACCTGCTGACTGCGGTGGACAGATGGACAAGCATCCTCGATCGCAAGGGAAAGGTTGATGTCATTTACCTTGATTTCTCAAAAGCTTTTGATAAGGTTAACCACTTGTGTCTTATCAACAAGCTCAAACGACTAGGTATCAAACCACCTCTAATCGACTGGCTTACTTCATACCTAAAAAATCGACACTTTAAGGTTAGGGTTAATTTCACTTTATCTCAGGCTATGGAATGTCCTAGTGGGGTCCCCCAGGGCTCAGTACTAGGGCCTCTTCTCTTCTTGATCTACATAAATGATCTTCCTCAACAGGTAACGTCAGACTTATTACTTTTTGCCGACGACGTGAAACTTTGGAGAGAGATACGCAACCAAGACGATACACAGGCACTTCAAGAGGATCTGACTCGACTTCAAAGTTGGGCAGACGATAACGGACTTACCTTTAACACTTCTAAGTGTAAAGTAGTCCATCTGCGACATGTCGCAAACTACAGTTACAACTTAGGAAACTCCTCTCTAGTAGTATCCCAAGTCGAAAAAGATTTAGGAGTCCTGGTGCCCCATGACTTAAAGTCTTACGCTAACTGTGACAAAAATGCCTTCTGAGCAAACCTTGCACTGGTAACGTTGAGGCGCATTTTTGGTCAGTTTGACGGAAGAACTTTCCACACAATCTTCAATAGTTTCATCCGTCCCCATTTAGAGTACGGAAACATAGTACTTCCCCCCTCACTCCAAAAGGACAAGGTCACTTTGGAGCGTATCCAACGGCGAGCCACGAAATCAGTTCGAGGACTCAAATCTAAGCCTTACGAAGAACGCCTCCGTTCACTAGACCTTTACCCACTAGAATATAGGCGTCTTAGAGGTGATTTATTAATGGCTTATAGTATTCTTAACACTTCTGGACATCCTCTTAAACACCTACTTAAGCTTAGTTCGAATAATAACCTAAGGGGTAACACCCAGAAACTGGAAACACAACATAGCAAGACGGAATGTAGACACAACTTCTACTCCTTAAGAGTTGTCAAAAGCTGGAACTCGCTGCCGGCCGAGCTAGTCCAAGCGACTTCTCAGGAGTCTTTCAAGAGGCAACTTGACCTATTCTTAAGGACCAAGGACAGCATCGCACTATGATTTACCAATTTCTTTTCCTCTTTTATTGTTAACATACCTAGGTTCCTGCCTGGAGGATTTGGTGATCCCCTGCTACTAGACACGGAAGCCTGTTAAGCGAAAGCTTCTTCTATTCCGTCCACAACCATTTGAACCATTTGAATCTTCCGTAACTACTACTGTTTCACAAATCTGTATTTATTCGAAGTTGTGTCAGTATTTCTAGGGTTTGACATAAAAAGCACATGAGGGGATTCCTAAATAAGGAGAAAAGGGAGGAAAGCAACTACTTATAGAGCAATAAAGTCACTGATAACGAGCAGAATGCACTTACATTTGGAAGTTGAAATAATTGATAAAAATTTCAATAGTTGAGACAATGAGTCAATTGAAGCTAGACCACCATGGAAAACGTGAAAGCACTAGACGGCCGTTTCGTCCTATTTTGGGACTCCTCGGCAGTGCGCATACATGGTCCCACTCAAATTGACTAGTGATCTCAACTATTGAAATTATTATAATATCCCTAAAATTCCTTCTGAAACTAATCAGCATATGCTCACTAGTGACTTGCTTTAAGAGGTATTTCCCGAAGTTATAGCAAGAAGCATTGGCCAGTAGAGTTCAACCGGGTCTGTTATGAGATAATAAATTACTGAAGACAATGGTGGATATGTCGCTCAATTTCGTGGATTAGTTAAGGCTAGACATGAGCACCATTGGATGCCTGCTAAGCGGTCTAGCGGTTAAGAGTTTGTGTGTGAAACTAATTCGTCCTGGGTTCAAATCTCGTAAAGCGAGATCGTGAATGTACATTGCTAAGAAGTCTCACATTAGGACAAAACGGTCGTCCAGTGTTTCTAGGTTTCCATGGTGGCCTAGCTTCAATTGACTCATGACCTCAACTATTGAAATTACTATAACATCCACGAAAATCTCTTCTCATACTAATTTATGACAGTTGGAAATTATGCAGACATGCAAATAAAAAAGCCTGACAACAGTATCCAGAAGTTGATACTGCAACATTTTGCATCTGATTCGGTTACTTTAGGAAAGCCATAGGTTTTAGTCGGAAGAATTTGGAAGTAGATTGTGAAGGACATTAGAAAGTAGACTTGCTTTTAGTGTCTCTTTCAGAAGCAGAGAACGATAGATAGATTATCAGCTTGTTTTAGGAGTATTACTATTGATATTCTGTTAAGTGACAACAAAAAGGTATGGATTTTGATGGAAAGCATTTCACATTGCCCACTTAGGTTTATACCAGCTAGGTTTTGTAGAACCGGGACTTGTTGGTGAACGAAAGTGGTCTCCGAATCTAGGTTTCTGTACGGGCGGCAAATCATGAATTACTTATTCCTTAATTTCATATATCAGCAGACTTTATGTTTACTAGGGGCTGCTACAATGACTAAGCGAGCACTTTGACATTACGTATACTCAACACGGTTAAATGTGATTTTTGATGGCTGCAAACCTAGAACATGTGAGAATTTTCTGCAAACAACGTTTGGAGAGAGATACGCAACCAAGACGATATACAGGCACTTCAGGAGGATCTGACTCGACTTCAAAGTTGGGCAGACGATAATGGACTTACCTTTAACACTTCAAAGTGTAAAGTAGTCCATCTGCGACATGTCGCAGACTACAGTTATAACTTAAGTACCTCCTCTCTAGTAGTATCCCGAGTCGAAAAGTATTTAGGAGTCCTGGTGGCCTACGATCCAAAGTCTTACGCTAACTGTGACAAAAATGCCTTTCGAGCAAACCTTGCACTGGTAACATTGAAGCGCACTTTTGACCAGTTTGACGGAAGAACTTTGCATATAATCTTCAACAGGTTTATCCGTCCCCATTTAGAGTACGAAAATTTGGTATTTCCTCCCTCACTCCAAAAAGATAAGGACACTCTGGAACGTATCCGACGGCGAACCAGGAAATCAGCTCGAGGACTCAAATTTAAATCTTATGAAGAGCGCCTCCAATCACTTAACCCTTACCCATTAGAGTACAGGCGTCTTAGAGGTGACCTCCTGATGGCTTACAGTATCCTTAACACTTATGAACATCCTCTCAAACACCTATTTAAGCTTAGTCCCAATACTAACCTAAAGGGTAACACTCGGAACTTGGAGATACAACATAACAGAACGGACTGTAGACACAACTTCTGCTCCTTAAGAGTTGTCGAATGCTGGAATTCGCTGCCAGCCGAGCTAGTCCAATCGACTTTCCAAGATTCTTTTAAGAGGCAACTTGATCTATTCTCAAGGACTAAGGATAGTATCTTACTATGATTTACCAATTTCTTTCTCCCCCCTTATCGTTAATATACAATGGTTCCTGCATGGAGGTATTCGTGATCTCCTGCTACTAGACACGAAGCCTGTTAAACGAAAGCTTCTTCTGTTCCGTCCACAACCATTTGAACCATTCGAGCCTAAAACAATTTTCGGTTGTGGTACAATTAACAATGATAATCTGGACACATGAAGTTACTTCACCTAATCTAACATATCAAAATTTACAGTTTCTAATAAAGTAATT